TTTATTTAAATGCTTGTCACCAACCCAAATTTCACTCTAGAAATTTTTCTTTCCATTTTCAATTCTCACACCAAAACCTTTTTGTAGACTATCTTTACAGTTGACAATACCTCCCCAAGCCCAATAATATCTTACATCAAAGAAAAAACGAGCAATTAATTCCTTATTGCATCCAGCCATCCACCAGTCAACGCTCTCAAAGCGGTATATTAATCTGGGCCAGGTTGGGCTTTTACTGGGCCTTGAGAGTTGAAGTCGTGCATGGTCCCAAAAGCAAAACAAACAACAACAACAACAAAAGTAACAGCATCCTTACAGCAAAATACCTCGTCTAGACAAGTAATAGATAGAGGGTACTTAGGTCATAGGTGGCCTTCTGCATTTTTTTCTCATATTTAGCAAACAACAAGAAGTCACTCAGCAGCCCTCCGGGATCAAACCGGTGGAACTGCAGGCTCTCAGTGTTAAGGTCAGTGGGCCTTACGTGCTGCCTGCTCTCTCTCTCTCTCTCATACACACAAAGCAAAGTAGTGGAAAAAATCACAGAGATCGGATGTATACACATATATATAGCTTGGAAACATTGGACGGAATAAATTGCAACAAATGGGTACCTTCATAAGAATCTCCAATCAAGTTACAAGCTACACAAACTACGTACAAATACAAAGATAGAAACATAAGAAGGAAAGTAGGAAGAGAGAACCACGCAACCAGGTCATTCTTACCCACTTCCATGTTCATTCCACTCATACAAAAACCTCACTCACATTACCACTCACCACTCTGTAAATTGTAATCCAACAAGAAGAAGAAGAAGTAGAAAAACAAAAGAAAAACTACAACAAAAAAAAAGGCATTAATGGCATAAGAAGCTTCTTACGCAATGCAGAACAAGTTTGGAACAAAGAAAGGGAGCTCCCTTGGTCAAAACTAGGGTCATTGTAAGATGGTATCAGCCACATCTCACTCTTTCTTTCCCACCCAGACTTCCACTTCTGTTAGGGACTGTGCCTCCTTTGGACCTAAAATTCCTCCCAATGCACATAAATCCTAAACCCACTTCCACACCCTCCAAACAAAACCAAATCATTCTCTTCATTCCCACCTACTCTCCAATTCTCTATCTCCCAACCCCTCTTCTTGAATCTTGATGTGGTGAGTCGAGAGAGAAGAGAAGAATGTCTTAAGGCTCTCATCTAGCTAGGGTTTCTTAAATAATGGAAGCTGCTGTAGGAAATAAGGATATGGAGTCATTGAATTCCTCTGAAAAGCCCATTATATTCTGTCCTAGGCTGCAAAAGAGACCTGTCGCTTTAATGATCCTAGAAGAAGCTGTAAGCCAACTAATGAAGCTTTAAACCAACCCATAAACGTGAAACTGGTGGAATTTTAGCAGGGAAAGGTGTCGCAGGTTTGGCCTAACAGCACAGAAAGCGAAGACTACTTACTGACTAAACACTCGAGCTGCTTTTCTGTGGCTGTGTGCTTGCTATCTTGGGTGCATGCAGTAAATGTACGTCTTTCTCGGGCCCTGGAAACATGACGAGACGTGCGTACGTCGGAGAGTCTCAATAGTCGCACAGACGCACGCAGACACACACCCAGTAACTAACCCAGATCCAGATGCAAACTAATTTGCTTCCAAACCCCATGATTTTACTTTAATTAGCCACCATCTCTGATTCCACTGTAGCCATATTGACCACTCTCTTTTCCAATCACCCGCAAGCTTCAGCAGTGAATCTGTGATCGACATGCCTTCTCTTTCTCTTCTACTCTTATCCAAGGTTCAAAGTATTGGCCGATAGTGGAGTCTTAAATCGGCCCCTGAATTGGTTTTGAAAAAAATAAAGAAAAAGTAAAAAAAAATAGTATTAATATCACCTGATATACCCCTATCGGCGTATCGGGTGTATCGATATTTTGAACCTTGCTCTTATCACCTTCACCCTTTCATACTTTCATGCCAGCAATGGTGGGAGGGAGAGGGAGAGAACTAGTAAAATCATGATTTTGAAAACCGGACCTGATGATTGGATCGGTTGACCCGGGAACTGGTCAGCAACCTGTTCCATTTCACTCTTAAACCGCTCCTGGGCAAAAAATTGTTGATTTGATCAACGACGTAAAAGATCCAGACAGTCAAACTGTCGATCTATTGACCCAAATAACGGCTTTGACCATTTTTTATTTTAATTTTTTAATCAAAATGGGGCGTCCACTTGAATCAAACAATTGATCTATTTGACCTTAGAACCGGTCCCCAAAACTGTTCCATATCCGGTCTGATTTTTAAAACCTTGAGTCAAATTAGAACATCACACACAAAGGCACAAAGCCATGGCCCAAGGACAAGGAGCCCTCCTCTCCTCTTTGTGCAGAAAAGATTTAAAGTTGGGGGGTGGTGCACCCATTTTAATAAAGTTGCACGCCCTAATTAATAGTTTAAAAAGTACTTTGCTCAAAAGACAAAGGGAACCTAGTACGTATGCACCTCGTCATGATATTTCTTTTCACAAAAACGTACTCTTCCATAAAAAAAAAAGTACCCTCTTTATAAGAACACTGGATGTGCTTGAATCACTACTACTGAAGTATTTCAATTTGCAATGAGAAGTTGGATTAACATTGATTTTTTTCTTTGAAAGCCAACATTGATTTATTTTTATGTAACATGTATTTCTTGAAAATATAAATTAAAGGATATGGCATATTATAACTACCAAATTTGTATGCAAAATAAACTGATATTTTTGGTCCACAAGGTGACGATGAGTCAAAAAAAAAAAAGACTGGTATTTTATCAAACATCTAAGCGACATTATATAAAACAAAGCCATTTTATAAATTAACCATTGGATATACTTGAGAGGGGAAAAAAAGGATCTGATTGAGATGGGTGATTTGCGTCAAGTGGGGTCTAGTAACAGTGACAGTGCTAGTGGGTCTGGAAATAGAGTTGGAAATGATAGAATCTTGCGCTAATGCAGTTAACATTGAATTCTTATCCTTTATGGATATTTCTCTTTCACTCTACGCAAGTACTTTTTATAACAAAATCCTCACGCTGCATTTGGTTTCAATCGTTATTAGGAAAGTTGCAGAAGTCCTTGAGCGATTTTAATACAGATGTTGCGTTTGGATAACCTTGAAGATTTGTGCTTTTAAAGGCCAAAAGCATGAATCCCATTTTTGGCTTTATGTTTTGGGGGCTTGAAAGTGTTTTTTCAGGGTATAGTATCTTTAGAAACAACTTTTACCAAATGCTCAGATTAATTTTGTTTTCCACACCCCAAAGCTCAAAAGCAAAAAAAATTATCCAAACGGGGGCTTAGTTTTATTTAGGATTCCCTTTTAACACAGGAAGAAATATTGTCAGACCTGAATCAGAAGTAACATTGGAACGATCACTATGTTACTGGTTTAATAGGTGATTTATCCTTCAAGCCAATGAAAATCGTAAAAAATGAAGACCCAGGCAAAGTTAAAAGGTTTGATAATTAATCCAGTCCCCCGAGTCTGACAACACTGACTGGACATTCATGACCAAACCGAAAAATCCAATTAGGAGTATTTTCTATGGAGCTCAGATAACTCTCCTGCACTGCACCTGCACATCCCTAACGGAGCAGAGACAGAGTGGTTGTCACCTCCAAAGAGAGGCTCAGATACACTGAACCTTACCATGGTTTTACATCCAACCCGGCACTACACAACCATATAATTAAATCTCAGCAAAAAGCCCAACCCAACTTTTTCTTTTTCCCTTTTTCGGTTAACCAAGCCCAACAGTAATTTTCTTTTCAAAAAAGTGTTTGGCATAAATCATATTGTACGCTACTGGTTTGCAAATTATGGGCGTGGTCATGTAGAATCACCCTCGAATCCAAGAAGCTATCTCCAACTTCCAAAACGCAATCAAGAATGCTTGATTAATGCTTGATTCCTCTACTGATTCTTGAGGAAACAAATACCAAAAGTGATTTCTTAAGAGTGGGTTGATGAATCAGTGAATTGATTCCTCTAAATAAACACCACCATGATTTATAGTACCTAATTAGGGCACATGCCTTGTGAAAGGACAACAGGAAACCCTATTAAAGTATAAAAGCACATAGCAGTTCCTGTCTTTTCCAAAGATCACTTTTGATCCATTCACTATTCACTATTCACTATTCCTGCTAAACTTTGTTTTTCACCCCTTCTAATTTGTTTCGATCTGAAGGGCGAGGAAAACTCAAGCAGTGAAGTAAACATAGCAAGGAAACAAGCAATACCGGAATTTACAGCTTGAAAAAATTTCCACCTCTTCCACATTGAAATAAACGTAGAAACCAAAGCTTGAAAATGGAATGGACTTCAACAGGACCAAACTATTCACTAGGGTACAAAAAATTAAAGGGACGCACACCTTTAACAAAAAGAAAAGGATAGTGATACTTCAGCTCCACCTTTTCTATTGCCACTCATCCTTGATATTACTTTAATTAAACTAAGGGTGTGTTCTCAAAATATGTAGGGTTTTTCTTAATAGGAGGGCCAATCAGGCTCACCCCAAATAAAACCATGGTGCTTGTAGGCTATGTTTGGTTTGATAGAAAATAAGAGAGAAACAGAAAGTTGAGGGAATGTTATTAACAAATTTTGTGTAATTCCTCGATAACTGTCCCTCAGCTTTCTGTTTCTCTCTTATTTCTGTCAAACCAAACAGTCTTAAAGTTTGGTTTGAATTTTTCAGCAAGCAAACCTCTGCAAAATCTGCATTCAGTCCTGAAGCAATGAATACACGTCCTTAAAAAGATGCAGAGAATATGGTGTTAATTACATACTTTCCCACAAAAGCCAATACATGATGGTTGGGTACAACATTCGGATCATCTTGAGGGCAAAGAAGTGAGAAGCACAAATTTTTAGATTGCAACATTCCAAGCTAAGTCATTTCAACAGTTACAATACATGTTCTCAAGTCCTTTATTTATCCTGTTTAGACAAGCAAATGAACCATTTGGCAGTTTGGCACAATTGCCAAACTCAAGTCCTTTATTTATGGAAAAAAGTTTACAGCACCTTAGCCTCTGAGAGTAAGCTCTAAAATGGCAAGTAAATCTTAAAGACATAACAAAACCACAATACCATAGATCTTCCGAGTTCCAACAAGGGGATGTCTTTTGAGAAATTAAGGGAGATAAGTAGAGCAGCAACAAAACACGACGACAAACAATGGAAACAATCAAACCATAAAACTAGCAAGAGTTCCTATAATTTATAGAATCACAAAATGAGCTATTAATCCTTGACTTTGCAATTAAAGTGGTAAAAGTAGGACAGGACATGGGATGAACTCAGCTAACAGATTTGCATCAATAAGCTTTGAGTGGATGGCTTCCATGCTTATCACTACTAAATCTAAATTCAGGTCATCAGCAACTTCACCTATGATGGCAGTTGGTTTGTTCCCTTCCCCAAGTCGTTCAATCAGCTTAAACTCCTGGAATCCACCTGAACAAAAGAAGCCATTTGTATAAGATAAGAAATGAACAGTTCCACAAATATATTCCAGAAAAGCTCAGAAGATATCATTACGTATATATATTCACATTAGTTTAATATATAAAACCAGAAAAAGAGACATCAATGATGTGACAAAAAAGGGCCATATGGAATGAGTTAAGATAGCATCTATGTGCAAATGGTTTAATTGATTCTTCAACATAGGGTGGAGTGAGCAATTCCCATGCCTAAAAGGTCCAACGGTGTCCACTTCTCAGTTGACAATTGACCATACACATCTCTTGATTGACAATTCCACAAAAGCTAAATGTGTTAGTTAAGTGTGTTTCATGTGGGATTGTAGCAACAGTTCAACAATGCCAGGTTAAATGTCAGCTAAGGTAGCTTAAGTCAGCCAAAATCACATGGTTCATAGTTAGTAACTCAACAGAGCCATTATTGCTCTTAAATACACATCCCAGAATTACATAGATTATGACCCAAAAGAATCAACATCCAATACTAAATTCCTATTTGAACACAATTAATTTCTCTGGTGAGAGAGCATAGGGGATCAAACCTTCAGAGAGATGCCATCGGATGCTAGATAGTTGTGTGTCATGCTCTGGGAATGACTCCTTAGGATTTTCATCAATAACTGCAAGAAACATCAAGTTTCTATATCTTCTGAAATCCAGTGCTCAAAAAGGTCTGTAACCAAAACAAGGGGTGCCTCTACAGCTTACGTTTCAGGTTTTGATAACTGCAAAAAGTGAAGAGTACAGAGAACTGGTAGGCATACCAACTACTGTAATGTCTGCTCCATACTTCTTTGCCAAAGCAGCTGTAGTTGCTGCAGCCTGCCAACAGAAGAATAAAAGACTAATACTGGCTGGCCATTACAAGGGTAGTAAAGTAGAATTTGCACTGAGAAAGCAAGAATCACCAGTCTTGTTCCATCAGATAGATACGGGTTCCGATCAGTGATTGGAAGTAGCAAATGTTTGAAGCTTGTAAAAGCATCTGTGACCAAACTAGCATCAGATTCCTGTTGCTTTGCCCTTGCTGAAAACAACTAAAGCAGAGGATTTCAGCAATAAATCATAGTTCAAAATGAAAGTACGATCACCAAGTAGATCAAGGATATATTGCAATAATAACCAAGGAAGCAAAGCAAACTTCATCCACAAAATAGAGAAAGGGCTGAAAATAGTACAGTAGGAATGGAGAAAATACATTGATAATAATGAGAATTGGGATAACAAATTGAACCAGGACTGCAAACCTAAAAAAAAAAAAAGAACAAACCTTAAGCAAGAAAAATGGAGTAAAGGTAGGAAAAATAATAAAGTGAATTAGTGAATTACAGTAAAGAGCTTAAAAATATATTTCAGGTAAACTAGGTGAAAAATAGCGAAGTAAACCATCCTGATTTGAAGATATATGACAGTAGAAGGACGAGGATTATGGCTGCACTTTTTTGTGATATAGATAAAAAGCTATTACCCAGTGCTGGTCCTTGCTATCCAGGGGATCTTCGGATAGGTGGACTGGGTATCAGTGCAGCCTCTGGCACTTTAGCACGAAGTGGCTATCTTGACCTGAACCCAAATATTCACTCTTGTCAGGCTGAGATTTTACCCTTGCACCAAGAAATGGACCCTTTCTTGAGGTATATAGGAATAATTAATTTAAGTTGCCATAGAAAATTAAAACATGAGCATGGTGATCAACTGCACTCCAAGGATGAAATTGCTCTCTTCTATAGATATGTTTCTTTAGCATTTTAATGGCATGTGGTTTGTCATAAGCTCTAACTTGAGTCGTGAGGCTTCTTCATGAACTGAGCTAAAGTGATGCAGTAATGCATCTAGAATCTTGACCCAATGTGCTGCCTAGTAACATAAGCCCTTACAAATACCTACAATTAAAAAAAAATAAAATCAATTCTTCCTAAGCAGCAAAGCAGGCCAAGTAAAATCCCTTTTTCCACAAAGGGCACTCAACCAGTCTCCAGTACAGAAGATTTGCTCATGGAATAAGGTGATTGTAGCAATGCAAGTTTCCCTTATCCAAAGTGTAACAGGAACCACTCTCTCAACAACAACAACCAAATCCAATCGATGACCATTGGAGCTGTAAAATTTACTCCTAAACCAGACTTTATATGCCTAGGTTCCTTTACAAGAGATCAAGATGGAATAGCAGCCCTAGACATGAAAACGTCCGATGATTTGGATTGCAGAAGTGAGACCAAGAGTTGTGGTCAAAAGCCACTTAAAAAGCACAAGCAGATCTTACTAAGGTTGTGTTTGGTACCAATGCTGTTTCTACAAGAAACATTTTGGGTTAATCAATACAAATTGGCATAAAACCTGTCATTTGAGATTGTTTATAGTTGAAACAGGCATACCTTAAAAATGCATGTGGAAATCTATTTGTAGAAATGTCAAATTGATGTTTCATGCCTCCAGGGTTGAAGTCTAATCATTCTAGTCTAAGTGATTCTCACATGTGATGTGACAATGCATAACTCTCACCAAAGTATACAACTTAAAATTTTGAACTGTCTTTGAAGACTGTTTCACTTGTGAAGGAAACCTTTAAGGCCATGAATAATTTTTTATAGTCCAGAATCTCCTACTGATCTTCCAGTTTCACTGATATAGTGCAACGGGTGGCATTCCTTCCTGAAGTAAAGAATGTGCATAAAGCCTACTAAACTTAAAATTTTTTGGACAATATGGAATAATAGCTTAATTATATAACAGCAGTCATGAGATTGGGAATTCATACTAATCTGCCATTCCCTGAGCATAGAACTGTCTGCCCTCTTATGCATGTGGTTGTCCATGAATTTCCCTTTTTGTAGTGGGTGGAGCTGTCTGTCCATATTCTATGCATCTGTATACTTCCTTTCAAGTACTTTCTTTTCTTTTCTTTTTTTTTTTTTTGACAAGTAGTACTTTTCTTTTTCTTTTATTTAACATGCATTCTCCTTTTCCTGAAGCGAGAAAAATGGATAGAACCAGTCAATTTTTATAAGTAATTATCCACAATGCAGTTCATGATTCGATTTGATTCAACCTTCTCTATTATTTAGGATAAGGTTATTATGTACAGAGCATTTCAACCCTGTGATTCAGAAGACTGCTACACCTAAATCTAAGTGACTTGACGATAAAACACACAGTTCCTCTGTATTCATAATAAAGTGAACAATTAAAAACATTTTAACAGTAGGCAGTGAAAAAGATAAATCATGTATACGAACAGATTACATCTATGGCATTAGTTAAAGGTTAACAAAAAGTAACATACATGGAATGTGATCACACATGCATTTAATATCACCCGTAAAGCACTTCAAACTTTGACCAGAGGACTAAAAACTATTGAAACCGGAGAATAAACTAATCAGAGTACAAGAAAAAAAATCATGAAATCGAATCCCTAAATTTCAATTCAGGGCAACAATATCCTCAGCAACTTCCACACCATTGCAGATGAAAGAGAATTTGGACAAATCCCCGCAAATAAAATAAAAAAGGGAAGAAGTGCTTATTAATGAAAGAGAAGGAGAACACCTGCTTGTGCGATTCTACGGAAACTCGAAAAGATAGAAGGCTCACGCACTTTGGTCCGAACAGAAGAGAAAGAATTCGAAAAGATAGTGGTATTAACTGTGGAGGAAGATGAAGAAAAAGAAGATATAACCGAGGTTCTCGGAGGATTTGAAGTGTCCACAGGCACAGCTAGTGGATAATGAGCAAACGCCATGGCAGAACTGAAACAACGGCCTCAAATACTACAACTGTCTAGAGACAAAGATCAGAATGACGAGTAAGGTTTTGGTGATCGTTCTGAACTTCTGATACACAGTAAATCAGTAGCAGAGGAAATGAGGAATAGGCAGATTGCCTAGGACTTGGAAAGGAGCGGATCAGTAGAAGAGAAAAAGAGATATCGAGAAGGGCCAAGTGAAAACAGGGATTGCCTCTAAGCGACGCACGGGGTGCGTACATGCGCGCATGAGGTGTACAGAAATGAGATAATCAGATAACGAAGAAAATCAACGAGTGGGACCACCCGACCAATGATAACCGTGAGGCCCGTGAGAGATGAACAGAATGAATATCGGGGTCATATAATACAAGTTGGTGGGAACCGTTGATCATCCAACTCGTGACAGATGAACACATGGATAGCCGTCTGATCGAAATCGGTGCATGATTACAAATGGACCGCACGATTCTCGCGGGACCTACGTGGCTACGTTGGAGAAACGGCCCACGCTCTCTTTTCTGAAGGATTCTCTCGCCATGGTGAAAGCGGGCCTTTGGAATGGTACGGCGCGTACCATTAGCATTCCCGTTATTGTCACTGCCTAAGCTAATTCGCAGTTGGGAACTTGGGACATATCGGTTGGAGACGGTCCGATTCGTGAAGAGAGAACCCTGATACCAAAATCCACAATCAATTTTTGGTTCACTGCTTCAGATCTTTCTACGAACACCTTGTAGGCCTCAATTCTAGTTTATTCAAAAGATTGAGTGAAATCGGTGCATGATTACAAATGGACCGCACGATTCTCGCGGGACCTACGTGGCTACGTTGGAGAAACGGCCCACGCTCTCTTTTCTGAAGGATTCTCTCGCCATGGTGAAAGCGGGCCTTTGGAATGGTACGGCGCGTACCATTAGCATTCCCGTTATTGTCACTGCCTAGGCTAATTCGCAGTTGGGAACTTGGGAGTTGGGACATATCGGTTGGAGACGGTCCGATTCGTGAAGAGAGAACCCTGATACCAAAATCCACAATCAATTTTTGGTTCACTGCTTCAGATCTTTCTACGAACACCTTGTAGGCCTCAATTCTAGTTTATTCAAAAGATTGAGTGAAAACGCATAGGAGAGATTTCACCGGTTCGCCGTTTGTTCGTTGTTTCAGCCAGCACGATGGAAGACGACGACGAGACCACCGTTACGTCTAAAGAATCCCTTCATATGACGACGATTTCACGGCATTCGTTCTCAATCACAGATCAGACCGAAAAAGCTTTGACTATCCAAATCATCGAGGTATATTGTATTCCACTCTCTCTCTCTCTCTCTCTCTCTCTTCTCATCGGTTGATGGAGTAAACTGCGTCACTTTTGATTCCTCGTCTTGGAACTCAGAATATGAAAGAAGATTACGGGTTGTTTGTCTGGCCATGTAGTATTGCACTGGCCGAATATGTGTGGCAGCAGAGGTTACGCTTCGCCGGGACATCTGTAGTTGAGGTATTTCATTAATATTTTCTTAGAATGCTCTCTCTCTCCCTCTCTCTCTCTCTCTCTCTCTCTCTCTCTCTCTCTCTCTCTTTTCTTTAAGCTGGAAAACTTGTTTATGATGTTAAAACGGTTATCTTTTAGCTCATTTGATCACTTCTTTTAACAAATACGATGGAGTCAACATGCATACGAAAAGCTGCGAATTGCGATGCTACTTCTCCCTTACGGGCTACTGTATTTTAATTGTGTTTGGCCATAAGGTGCATTTAGCTGTTTTTTACTTTGTATCTCGTCATTTGAACCGCCTCAAATTGGCTTCAGAAACCAAAAAATACGACCAGAGAAAATTTGGTGTAGGATGTGGTTCATGCTTCAATATTTCCTACATTTTGTGATTTGTTCTATTTCAGTGTTGCTACTGCGGTTTCTGCCAAATGGACCAACTAATAGCTCGGAGTTAGATAATATAGTTGGACCGGGGAAAAGGGGTCATTACCCAATCTTGGTCCTGGACCTCTGGTCATCTAGGGGAAAGGTGGATTGGATTTGGATTCGAACCAGGACTATAATAAAATTAAATTTCTAAACCAAGCAACATTTAATAATCCGAAGTGTTCAACTTGGAAATTCCATATTTGAAGATCTTAAACTCCAAATGCATACTTAATCAACTATGGCATTTTACATTTTTTTATTGGTCGACTCATTTGTGATTAGGAGCATTGGAGAAAATAAAACCACCTTTTTTATTGTTTCCAGTAAACTACCTCATTTTTTATGTTGTTTTCTGCTTTTTGAACAATCATTTCTTTTCCTGTATGCTGTTGAACTATTGACTAAAGTTGATCTGTTGATGTTCTTTTCTAATCTCCATATGGTGCAGCTTGGGGCTGGAACTTCCTTGCCTGGCTTGGTGGCTGCAAAAGTAGGTGCTGAAGTCACACTGACAGACAGCTCGAACAGAGTAGAGGTATTGTATTGGTCATAACTCAACTCAACAAAACCTTATTCTAAATATATGGGGTTAGTTACTGGAATCCTACTTTTCCATTCAGCTCTATCAAGGTCCCCCTTTCTATGGTCAAACTGTGAGCCCTCAAGTCATTTCTGTCTACCTCAACCCATGTTCTTTTTGGCTTGCCCCTAGTTCTTTTGGACCATTCAACTTGCATCAAGACTTCTTTTTATTGGTACAGTAGGTATTCTGTTGGTTAGTAGTTGCTTGAAAAACCACAGCCATCCATTATTGAATGCAAGAAATCAGAACAAAATTTCTACCTTTTCTTGCGCTACATAAATCATTAGACAGATAGATAGGAGTGTCCATTTTGTGTCTCTAGCACATCTTTACAACTTTGTTACCTCCAGTAAAGGTTCCTTGTGCTTGATAGAACTCACTAGGTTCTCTAATGAATCAATAATCTCAGAACCACCAATTTTCCCCCATAGGATGTTACAACTTACAGGAGCTGGTAGGATTGTCTGGGGTTCCAAGATGATCATGATCCACCAATAAATGGCTCTGAAGCTTTCAGTAAATGCAATAATCTGAAATCACGCAACAAGATTGTCTCCAATATTTTAACACCTCACTCTAAAAACCAACCACCAGACCCCTACTCTGACTCCAAATTCTGTATAGTGAATGGTCTATTTTCTCATTGCAAAGCTCAATACAATATTAAGCACAGTAGACTATGGTTCATTATTTCACCTTTCTATTATGATTTACTTAGAAATGCAGGTACTGGAACTACATCTCTAAAACTGTTCTCTTGAATGTTCTTTCTGTTTCACTCACTGGTATGCAGGTGCTGAAGAACATGAGAAGAATGTGTGATCTCAATAAAGTCAACTGTAAAGTAAACTATCATCTTCATTTGAGTAAGCTGGCAATATAAACAAACTCCTATGGGCTTCTGACTACTGTCAAATCTGAAATGATAACAGTTGTGTGGCTGGAAAAATTGGGGGAAGTAGAGGAACCTAAGAGTGACCAGAAGCTCAAAGGTTCAACACTGATGTACATGAAAGTCACTGAGCCATTGACCTGCTAATACATGCGATGACTGCATAGGACAGTGAGTCCAATCTGGTGAACCTCCTTAGCTTTATAGATGGAAACATCTCATACCATGTCTGGAAACATTGAAACAGTGACATACTTTTGGTCTGGAAACATTGAAACAAGGGTTAACATTATTTTGGGGTAGATACCACACCATACCCAGGAAGAGCGCGTGTGTGCACGGGGGGAGGGGGGGTTAGCTGAGGATTTTTTTGACCCAGTCCAGATGGGTTAAACCTAATTTCTATACCAGAAAATGCCTGATATGAGCTTGATAAAATTACTTAACAGGTTGAGTTACTCTCCCTCCCTCTCTGTTATGGTTGACCAGTATGTCAGTATAGCTTACTAGGTTTCCTTGATAAATAAATAAAAGAAGCAGTAAGTAATTATTTTTCAAAATGGTTATCTTTTATTTTGTAGGTTTTGGGGCTGACTTGGGGAGAATGGGATGCTTCCATATTTGATTTACATCCAAATATTGTCCTTGGAGCTGATGTACTGTATGATAGTAGTGGTAAGTAGTTGCTTCACCAGATCTGAACCTTTATAATTATCTATATGTTAGTGAATCAAATATTGATGAGTGTGCTTGTTGGTAAGATTTTGATGATCTCTTTGCAACGGTTACGTTCCTCCTCCAAAATTCTCCAGGATCAGTCTTTGTAACCACATACCATAACAGAAGGTCTTCTTGTTACTCACTTCCCGATACAGTTTTATAAGAAATATATATTTTGAAATTTGAATGTATGGAATTATCTTGCTAACCAATAATTGTATCTGCTGTTGTACAGTGGGCATCATCTTATTGAATATTTGATGGTGAAATGGGGATTGAGATGTACAAGGCTTCTAGATGCCTTCTCATTTCTGCCTTCCTCCAAGGCATCTAATCTAAGCGGCAACATACAATTAGTGGAGATGATTTTGGATCTTAAATAGCTTATGGTAAGCAATTCCATAAATCTTTACAGCAGGAATCTTAATTTAATCTTTTCACAATCAAATATTTAGATGACATCAGAGTTTTCAAAGAAAAAATGTATCACCTGAACCCGATGGTCAGTATCAGAAAACAGCACTGATAAAGAAAATGTTCCATGTTTTAGTGTTTTTTATATTATGAATTGCAACATAAAGAGTGACATTTCTTTTTCCATCTTTTTTAACTATATATACATAAAGTTTGTCAAAATGTGTTACGTTCAGAATTTTTTTCTTTGTGAGAATATGGCCTTCTACTATTTTCTTTATTTTGCTTCAGCTGAAGTTCAATAAGCAAAAGCGGATTCTAACTTGTAATTTGGGTTAAGACGAAATGCAAGATTAAACAGACAATATTTTGGCCCGTAAGGGAAAGCTAATAACGAACAGTTTCTCAGTGTAAACAATAAAACAGTTAGAACACCAAGAAATAATATTATCTTCTCTTTCCTTTTTGTCTTTTTAGATACACTATTTTGAGAACCCTAGTTTTTTTTTTTTTTTCTTCATGGGGCTACACAACAGGGGGGCCCCAACCCCAGTGGCAGCGGGATTTGATCCAAGACATCTGCTACAAACAGCCAAAGAACATACCAACTGAGCCACCGATAGTTGTTTCTTGATAACCCTAGTTGATTTTATATGAGAAGGCTTGAGAAGAAATTTCAATGGCCATGAAACCATGGCATTCACCATTGTCCTAACAACTTTTATGGGGTGTTTGGTACAGTGGCATTGCATTTTGGGTTGATCAATACAAATTCGTGACAAATATATGTTGTCACAACAAATATAAATTTCATACCAACTAGAAAAAATGCATTTATGTGATTAATCATTTGCATTTATGGTTGAAACATCAAATTTGACATTTTACATAGAAATAGCGATTTGTATTCATCAACTCAAAACATTTTCTGATTTTTAGAATGTTTCAGGTAGAAAAATTTCACACATGGGGGTGCGTCCGGTTTGGTTTGGTTTGGAGAAGATCTAGAACCAAACCAGTAAATTACGGTTTGAAAAATTCTCAAACCAAACCATTTTAGTATAGAAACCAAATCAGATCAACTGTAAAACGGTTTGGTGCGGTTTCTAATACGGTTTGGGCTATTCTATTGGGCTTAACCCAATTAGAAAGTCTAAATAACGTGCATACCTACATAAATAACAAATATAATTGAAATGTTAACAAATGCCACTTTTAATATAATTGATGGGCTTTTAGAAGCTCAGCGGACCAAAAACGGTCTTTTTCTGTTTGTCTAGTAAAAACCTGCTAGACTAGAAGACAAAACTCCAAAAAGACCATAAAAGCCTGGAGTGGCCTAGATTTGATAAGCCGCAAGTGAAGCTTATAGTCTTTTTGGGATTCCCAGCTTCCCGATGTGTCTGGCAAAAATTCCAAAAGGGTCGATTGAAACTCCCGCTACGTCTGCCCCAATGACTAAGCATGGACACGGGTACGTTTTTCTCATTTTCTTCTTCTTCTTCTACTACTAATTGAAACGAGTTGTAGCAGCAGGAGGGAGAAGAGGAAGGAAATGGATCGGAGGAGGGTGATTTCTACCCAATCCACCGCTGCAACTAGTTGTAGTGGCAATGACAGAACAGGGGAGGGAATGTCAGACGAAGAGGAGGAAGAAGAAGAAGAGAAAAAGAGAGAGAGAGAGAGATCGGCGGAAGAAGCAGAGCCGGGTTTAGATCTATCGCCACTGCAAATTGCATCGGCGGTGACAAAACGGAGGGAGAGAGAGAAATGGGGGAAAGGGGAAGAAGAAGAAGAAGAGAGTGGGGGAGGGAGGTTGGAGGTGGAGATCGATCTGGGTTTCGTTCGAAGGAGGTAGGTAATGAATAGTGTATCCTTGAATGAAAGACTTAGGAGTTGTATAGGTAGGGTTAAGGGCAGTTTTGTAAATTTGGGAAAATCTAGGGGTACTTTTATAATTTTGAAAAAGTTGGTAGCATTTTGGTAATGTTTAGTAAACTTGGTCAAATCGGGTCCAGGGTTGAATCGAGTTTCCAGTCCAATGGTGGGTGGTTTCGGGTAGGGGTGCTCACGATTTGGTTAACCGAATCGTGGGGCTTTTTCTTGGACCGAACCAATATTATTGGTTTTTGGAAAATCGGTAACTGAAATCGAACTGAAACCAGTTGGTTAAGCGGTTGATCGGTTTGGTTCGTCGGTTTTTTAATTTTTATAATATATATTATAAATATATAATAAAAATTATTATATTTTAATTAATAAATATTATCATATATTATAAATATATATTTATATATAATACATATTTATTAATTTATAATATATATAATATATAATATACATAAATATATAAAAATATATATTCTGGTCAATTCAGTTAACCACTAGTTTTCTATGATTTTTCAGTTTGTTTGATTTTTTAGGTTTTTTTGCTCACCCTAGTTTTGGGTCAAAAAATGGAGGGTTGAAATGGGTTTGACCACAGAGAGAGTTTGTGTGTGTGGACCCATGAGATTGGTTGAAATGGAATCTTTTTAGATGGAAGGGTAAATGAGGGTATTTTTTACTGAAATTTTATAAGGTGGGTTTTTCGGATATTCTGAATTGATTGGTAGGGTCAGATTGGCCCAATTGGGCCTATATTGGGTAGATTCGGCTAATCTAGAGCCTCAAAACAGGATCTGTGTGATCGGGGGGAAAACCGAGCAAAAATCCTATTATGTTTCAGAGAGATTGAGAGTGTCCGATCGGGAATCTGGGGTGCATTAGGGTTTAGACAGCAAACCGAGCAAAAATCGGGTGCTAACACCTATTGGCGTGGAACACCAGTTGTTGTGAAATGCATTAATTCTTTCATCTCTTTCAGATGACCAAATAGTGATGTGAGATACTATTTGATGCAATAGTTCCCTAAATCCTAATGAGTGAAGCAGTAGTTCATTTCTTAAACTTTGACATGTATGTTCAGGGAGTCCAAATCTGCTACAGGGTTAGTGCAAGCATGTACAATCCTCTGAATTGCATTCCTCTATACTGCTATGTTCCCAAAGGATATACCTTCCAAGAGAGATGCCATAACAATGACGGGGGATACAAAGCTTTGGAGGAAAAGTAGCATTAGCGGTGGTGGCAACAATGCTATCAAAGACCCTCACCTATAACCAAGGTTTAAAATTTCGATACGATACGCCCGATATGGGGCGTATTGTATTGTATCTTTTAAAAACCGATACAGGATACGCATGGAAATTAGACGTTTCGTCTTTTTTCATCCGTATCAAGGGCGTATCGGGGGCGTATTGGTAGTGTATCGACGAAAAAGATACGGCCAAAAACTAAAAAATAAAAAATAAAAGGGGAAAGCAAGCTTCTTTTCCCCGAAATAAGCCTTCTTTTACCCCCAAATGATTCTAAAACTTCAAACTTCATTCCTAGAGTGCTAGATTTGCAAAATTTTGCAAGAAACAAGTGCGAATCGTTAATTTTTTTTAAAAGATTTTTCAAATTTTGAAAAAATATGGCAAAAATAGGTAAATTTTTTCAATCTTTTATAATATCTTGTGATTTCTTTTTTTTCTTGAATTTTTAAATTTATGTTGATCTACATTTCTTACATTCAAAATCACAATTTTTTTTGTGCTATCATTAGATTTGTGGAAATTTTATGAAGATACTTGGGGAAAATATAAATTAACAAAAAATTTGAAAATGTAAGTTTTTTCTCTGCCTTTAAAGACTAAATGCGTTTTTGATCTATGGATTTATCTATGATATCCATAAAGCAATTGAAATTTCTTCTTTAATATATATTTTTTATTTTTTATTTTTAGAATTAAAAAAATAAATAATAATTAATTATATTTTACCATTTGATCATAACAATTGAATATATTATAATTCTATGGATGATCTATCATATCCATAGACCAATTGAAATTTCTTCTTTAATAAATATTTTTTTGTTTTTTTAGAATTAAAAATTAATTAATTAATTATATTTTATCATTTGATCACAATGATTGAATATATTATAATTCTATGGATGATCTATCATATCCACAATTGAAATTTCTTCTTTAATAACTATTTTTGAATATATTATATAATGTTTATTTATTTTTTATAATTTTGAAAAATGAATAATAAATAATTATTAATTATATTTTCACATAGAAGTTGTGCCAATGCATGTTTTATGGTTGGATAGGAGAGTTGGGTTTTTCTCATCCCATAAAACATTAAAACTTAAGAATTATAATTTATAAATTATAGTTAAGCATAGGATTTTTAATGAAATTATAATTAGCTATAATATATTTCTTCATAAAACCATTAAAATCTATGAATTTAATGTATATACATCTCATTGAGGCCTTATATTTAGTGTTGATGTATTTTTATGACCTATTAAAATATTTATAGTGTTTCCAAGCATATCTAGGTGTATCTTAGTTTTTCTCTGACATGCATATGTATCTAAGGCGTATCCTGATACATATCTTAAAAATGCCTTTCTGATACACTTGGCGTTTTCAATACTTTGAACCTTACCTATAACAAGGATTCTGCAGGAACAAAGATGAGTTCCTTCATGCCAATCTATTTTTTCTTTAATAAATTCTTCTTTTCTATGTATTTTTTTTCTTGTCAAATTCTGTATCATGGTCCAAGATAGATCATGTTTAGAGAATGATGAATATATGGAAAAAGGGTTTTAATATTTCAATGATTACCAATAAATCTTTTTTTTATGGATTTGAGTTGTTAGAAATTAAAAAATAAACTTGAGGTATAAATCAATTATTTTGCATAAGTGGAATGTGTAAGTGGGACCTAAGTGTTATTTTTAACAAATAAAAGTGTATGTGGGGCCCATAAGTGCTAAATGTACATTTGAATGTATCAATGGGTCCACCCATGACATTTCATAGGTGCATTTTCATTTAGATGCTCAACACTTGTTTGTTGTGGTATGTATGCTTACCAAACAGTCTTTTTAGCTTTTAAGAAGATCTATTCAAAATTGAAACCAAAGAGTCTTTGGTCTTTAAAGATCTACCCATGAAAGTTCATCAGTCTTTTAAGGTCTTGAGCTTTTGAAAGATCTTAAAAAGACTTATCAAACGCCTCCTATATGAATTACAT